GCAACGAACTTGCGGAACTTTTGTTTTGAAGACTATCATTATGTCTTTCAAGAGACTCTTTGTCCTGTGACACTCGCTCATCAGATCTTTGTATTTCAATTTTATATTTTTATACCTCTGATACATTCCGCCCCATTCTTGCCCTTTTCACACATTTTACTTTACACCAATTTTTTTCTCATATATATTAGCCTGCAAAATATTTTTCTTATCCCTGATAACGCTCTTACTCGGAATTTAATTATTATTTTTGATTTCAGCAGTCAAAGGCCTCATTTGAACTATATTTTTCGTTTTAACGTTTATAGTTTTGATACGATAGAATTTTCCATGAAACATAAGTACTAACTTACTCATATTTACCAACAAAGCTTCAAGCCATCTTGTTAATAATGTTTAATAAAAGTGAAAGCCTAGAATGTGCCAAAGTTGTTGTTTTGAAGTTGGGTGCCATCCTTTTCGACATAACGGAATACATTTTAAACCTCTAAATTTATGAAAAAAATATCGCGAAGATCTGAATAGGCACATTCCAAAATTCGCCTCGTTGGCACTTGCCGGAAGGTACCCCTAGTATACTTTACTATTGCTGGGGTTAAGAAGATGGTTCGTTCTCTCATCAACAAACACTTGAATTTAACGCTCCGCCATGACAACAGGCAAGCGGGTAGGATTTCTACCCCGCGGGGGCTACATATACTTGGGTCAATTTTTGCTGGGTATGTGCCGCTGGCCTCTTAGAGCCCCTAAACCATTATAGTCTATTCTGTGGCCAATCATAGACCCCATCTCAGCCAATTTGGGGCAAAAATGTAATTTTTGCGATCCCAACTTAGTCACTTTCTATTTATGTATCTATACCTTACACCAACAGTACAAACATTCTGGTACGTTTGTTAACTGATAATATGAAGAACTGTCTTACCCCCAAAATCAGAAAATGTGCGACCCCAGTCTAGTAAACTCTATTGAAAATGCGACCCCATTATAGTCAATCCAGTCGTGAAAATGCAACCCATCCAGCGGCACATCCCCATTAGCCCCTCATAAGGGAGTACCCTCCCCGGGATTACTACGCGATTTGAATATTCAAGCATAGCGACCACATCCGCGCGACAGTATAGCACTTGCTACGAAAGGGACGGTACTACAAGCATATAAAAAATAAAATACACGGTCTTCTAAAAAACTAATATATAGATTTATCCAGGGCTATGTTGGCTTTGTTTTGTTATATTTCGACTTCTGGGCTATTTTAGTTCGATAATAGGGTTATTGTGAAAGGTTTGAACCCAGGAGTCATTTCAAAAGGTTGATTTTGATGGTCCGGGTGAACGTAGTCCTGAATAGGACTGTTGTTGTTGACAGTGACTGACGTTTCGACAACCTGTGCGGTAGTCATAGGGTTATTACATGTAAATGTAGACCGAGCTTTCTCACAGTCTACCCTCTAAGCTGCTGAGTAGGGTAAAACAGGTACAATAACTGTGTATTACAGACCCGGTGGACACCAATATGGCTCCTGAAACAATGTCGCATATGTCTCCAAGCAATATTCGAGGTTTCACTATATTATTTTTGGGTTAGAAAACAATGAGACTGTTGTTATCACATTTTCATTTGCCAGATGAAACCAATAGTCCGCAGTCCGCGTTTTACACTGACCGAGTTAAAAATGGTGAACTCAAATATATGCTGGTTTGCCGCTGACTTTGCGGCAGTTATGTTGATACAAAGAACAGCAGTGTTACCCCCGCTACTGGGAACTTGACTCTTTTTATGCAAATTCTGCGCTACAAAAATCATTGTCTTGTTTTGTTAACAAACATGCATGGTAGCCTTGTCACGTGGCTGCAAGGTCCTCTTAAGAGAGTTTGAGTCAGGAAATGGATGCACAAAAAACCCTGTAGTCGTTCGGAAATTCAACTTCTTACATTAAATTAGAGGAATGGTAGTCTTAAACAACTATCTACGCTTTCAGGAGAGCCTACCTTTAATATTTTATAACGTCCGGGTCAACCGAGCTTTTGCATGCTTTGTGAACTTGTTTCCCATTGCTGAGGTAGCACATTTCTGTGCATGCAAATTAGCCAAACAGCGACAAATAAGCAGCCAAATGGTTAGCCGTTGAAGTTCAATACAATCGGTGAAATCACTGTAAAGTTGAAGCTCTACACACACGCGCCACTTTGCAGGCGCCATCTTGGTTTTTTCTTCTGGGTCCCAGGCTTCACTCAGCGTTAAGAAGTGGGTGGAGTCGGTTGGGGTTACAAGGGAGGGGCATGGGGGCCCGAGCCCCTAGCTATATTATTTTTATGCAGGAGCCGATTACTATTAAGTAATCGGCTCCTACTTTATGCTAAACTAAAGACCTCAGGGCCAAGAAAATTAATTTTAGAACAGCGACTGCACAAAACTCATATTTTCTTGAAGGAAATACGTCATTTCCTTGGCTATGTGAGGACCATTCTAAGACTTATGCCTTTTCTGCAGAAGTCAAAAATAAACGGAAAGGTTCAAAATTCTTAAAAAGCATTCGCCTGCTGTGTCAGGCACTCAGGTAGTTAATTAAGACGTCGCGGAAATAAAACAATCTCACCTGCTAGCAGAAGTCTCTTACGGAGTCGTGAAATGGTTTTATTGCACGACTGCCCTACTTATCTTGGAGCCTGTGTGGGAAAGACATGCGATCAACATTACAATCGTGATATGTGTTGGAAACGATGTCCCTCGTGGCTTAGTCGAATTAAAGGGATTTTTGTATAGCTCATAGGAAACAGAAGACACTAAGGTAAATCAACAACGAACAAAAACAAACACTTCGTTGTCTTCTTTAATTTTATTTTTATGTACTCAAATGCTGATCTGAAAAATTTCAAAGTAAAGAGAATACGTCTGTGGCTTTTAAGAGTTCATAGTGCTTTTTTGGAGTAAAAAAAGAAACTGAACAGAAAGAAAAGAAAAGTGAAGGAGAATAGATTTGTGTCGTCTGTTACTGGCTTCTGAGATTCCCTTACGGCCTCTTACCAGCTTACAATTGTAATGAATGATTTTTTTCAATGTGCGAGTTTAAGGAACTGAACTAATAATAAATCGATAAGAGTAGATTTGGCCAGCTGAACGAAGAGCGACCCTTGTGTGCTGGGCCGCAAACAATATTCCACGAGACAATGAGTAACAGACTTATCGCCACCTCAATTACTTCAATTTGCAACTCTTTGCCCACCGTCATGTACCGTCTAACGACTATATATAGAACAGCAAACGGCGGGGGAAGGGGCTAGTGGACAGCGAGAAAAGCACAATAAGACAAAATCACATGAACGTGTTTATTTATCATTCTTTTTTACTCTTTGTTTGAACTAGAAAACAGTCATCATGAAATCAGCTCCATGGGCAATTTAGTAACAGGTTGGAAGAATAAAAACTATTGAAAAAAAAAGAGTATTTTGGCTTGAATTCTTTTTCCATGAGTGATGTTTCTCTTGGCATCCCTTTTGTGGTCCTAGAAGTCCTTATCGCGACCTCTCATCTTCAACTTCAGGCTCAAGCACGTCCGCCGTTCATTCAGACACGTTTTCATGTCTGGCTCACGGATTCGTCTACACGATATCCAACTTACCCCCTTTGCGAGGTCAATGGATTCTCCCTGACCAAGTATAAGGAAAAGGGAGGAGACGTATCTGGAATAAATCTGGAGTTCGTTTCGATTCGAGCTTACAAATGCTCAAGCTCCGCTAATTGAAGAATTGTGGCGGAAATAAATTTATTTTTGATGCAATAAATGAAGTGCAAAGTGAGACTCTCCATAGGTTCACATTTTGTGTATCACCATTTCACTATTTCAATTTCCATCGCAAAAATAGACCGGCTGTGAAGAGTTTATCTTAACTGCAGGGTCACAGGCAGTTCACTATTGAAGAAGACTAAAAAATCTGGTACACATATAAAAAAACTTTTCTAGAGAGAGACAGGGACGCCAGAAACGTGGGTGGGGGCTTAGGGACATCTAGAAATCCGCCTCAATTTTGCTTAGTGTTTATTTCGGTCCTCGATCTTTCACAGAAAACCACTTTTTTAGCAAACTTTAACATCCTATGACATTATTTTATTATATTTGGTTAAAAACAGAATCCAAAAGAACATGATCAGAGGAGGTGAGAAACGCGTAGGCGCCGGGCGGGAGAAATCGCTTTCGTTTACCAAAATAACTAAAGAAATTAAATGAATCAATAACATTGGCGAGCTAATAATCGTTATATGTATTGGAAAGTCGATGGAAAAGGTTACATGTGTTTGGAAAATCAAGCTTTCTCGACCTTGAACCTTCGACAATGACTCATGCCGGTTCCGTGTCATTTCTCACCTCTACTGACGATCGAATTCAGAAGTATTCGTCGATGTTTGGCTTTTCCTGGACAAATCCATCGGTGAATTCCAATGCTATATAAAAAATGTGTGCCCTGATGTTGCTTTGGGTTAATAATCACGATTTGGGCTTGTAACTAGTTCAACTGTACAAGGTTTAGTTGTCTTGAGTATTCCGGATACGCCCCTCGCTTTCTGTTTGTGACATGCAAATCAGCTAAGAAATGGTATCTAATACGCATGCGCATCAGCTGACTGTGTCCCTTTAATCACAACCTCTAAATATAACTCCAATGAAATTCACGTATCCGCGCCCTGAGATCCACTCTATGTTCTGCTATTCTCTCTTGTTTCAACTACTTGCGTGGCTAACAAAACGCAGGATTCTGATTGGTTCTCAGCAGCCTTTATTTATTCTAAATTTGGATGATGCAGCAGTTTTTATCAGTTGTCAATATTAGTTACAAATTAGGGTGCGCGTAGCTTACGGTTTATTGGAGAGGGGAGAGTGGGATTCGCCCCTTGCTCGACGTGCTCCCCTTCCCAAAAAAACTGTCATCTACGCAGGCTAAAAACGAATCAGTTGTGATGCATGTGTGTTAATTACACGTTAATGATGTTTGATGTTTGTGATGACTCTAAAGGAGTTGCACTGGCTACCAGTGGAGCAAAGAATAATCTTTAAGATAAATCTTACTTGTTTTAAGATACTCAACAATTTAGCTCCTGATTATTTGATTGACCTAATCCATGTTTATGAACCTGCGAGGTACCTTCGCTCATCTTCAGACAAGTGGCGTCTTGTTATTAAACCCTATAACTTAAAGACATACGGTTTAAGGGCTTTTTCAGTCATTGCCCCTATACTCTTGAACGAATTTCCTATTGACATTAGATCGACTGATGATGTAAATAAATTTAAATCTAAATTGAAGACCTTTCTTTTTAAGCGAGTTTACGAACTATCTTAGGTTTTTTATTTTTTATTTTTGTGACTACGTATATATATATGTAAATGACTTTAGGATTTTTATTTTTTATCCAGAACTTTTTGAAACATTTTAAAGCTCTTAGCACTGAAAAGTATAGGCGCTATATAAATATTTATTATTATTATTATTATTATTATTATTATTATTATTATTGTTTGATCAGTTCTGTCCCTTCTACGTCCAGCCATCCCTCTCTAAAATTTCCTGCCCCGTTAATTCGACTCCTGTCCAGCATGCTAAGACATGTTTCATATATCTGCTATCTTCTGGGCTTTATGGTCAAATAATGAGGCTCCTACATCACAGTTCAAGTCTCCAAAAATACCGACCTCTATATTCTAGTTTTCAAATTCTAAAAATTATATATAAAATTTTGCACTGAATGTTTTCAATAGTATACTAAGGCGGTATATCCGATACTGAAGGAGTTCTTCGAAATGGCAATTATTATAAAATGAGCTGAATCTAAAAGTCAACATAGAAAGATAGAATTAGAAAGATTACGTTAATGAAAAAAAACGATGTCGCCCGCAATCACTAATTTTCGGTTGGCTTCAACAGCTGCTAGTACTTCTCTGTAAAGTACTATCACATCATTTTTGGCCAGGTACATAGGAATTTAAGCAGCACAATCCTTAAAAGCTTAAGTGGTTGGAGGCTTTCGCAGGGGCTTGCCAGAGAAAAGCACAATTAAGTTTCGGATGTATCGGTACATCAAAACCCTCAGTCTGTACCACAGTAACGGAGATGACACGAATGTTCCGGGGGTGTTCCTCTGAAGTGATACAGGAAGAAATCTCCGCAGTTGATTACTTCAATATTGATGGACCACCTGCAGCAGTTTGATTGCCAGTTGAAGCAAACCTTTTTGGTGACTTTTCCTTCTTCTACTGACAGATGAGCACCGTTAAGCCAGCCAGTGGCATGGGTACTACATTTGTGAGGAGCAATGCATGAAGTAGGCATTTTTGTCCCTGCGTTACCTTGGAAACGATACCATCCATGTGGGAGTGAATTATCACAAAGAAGTGGGGATGAACCATGGGACACTTTCCTGTTACCGTTGGTCAAATTTTGGTAGTTGAGGCAATCTGAAACTTTTTATAAACATATACTTTAGCTTACTTTGTTTGTCATCTTCTCTACCAAAAATAAGGCAAACAACAGCGTTGAACATGATAAAAGTTGACGCTTGTTGTTAAAAAGAATCTTCGATGAACGATTGGTTGGATTATGTATAAGTACTCTTTCGAGCAGTCCCTCTTTGGCGCGTCAGTCGAAGGTCACCCGCAAAGGACCATAGTCTAGTTTCGACTTCAGCGACTTCGTCATAATCGCAGAACTCCAAGCCCTGATAACGAATTCCTACAGATTTAGCCTCCCTGAAGTGAATTTATTCACAAGTTCCAGTGGCAAAAAGACCAACTTATACCTCGATCGATTTAGTCCATTTTTAGGTACCTTTCTGTCGGGATATTTGGGACTTAAGAAATGTCGACTTCATACCGTGTCAGTCATGTTAGTGTGTCATTAGGGAGCTAAAGCAAAGTCGTTTTAAAACGACGCATATCAATCGGAACTTGGAATTTTTGCATTCTTGGGCAGTGGTCTCGCCCAAATTTTCGCCAAAAATTAATCGTCTCAGCTTATAAGAGTAAAGACACTTGGCAGTGAAATTTGTTAGCGGCAAGACCTCAGTAAGTTTAGTTGAAAAAGAAAAGGGCCGTCATTCGGTTTATCACTTTAAACAAAGGGAGTTTTCGTCCGAAATGAAAGCGTTATACCGTCTCACACTGTAAAATGGTCTCTCTAATTATGTGAGCTGTAGTCCTTTATGATAGTGGCCACTGGTAAAGCTGCAACGCATCTATCGGACGCACTGTCCACAATTTTCCCCTTCCCCTTCCTCTCCAAACCCGCGCGCGCATCCGCCGCGGGTGTAATGGGGAAGGGGAAAGAGAAAATTGGGGTCGGTGCGTCCGTACACCTTTTTCGTAATAGACTGGGTTAGTTTTGGGACGCCAGCCCTTCTTTTTTCGGATTTGACGAGGCTGCAATGGAAACTGGTCCAAAATCGCTCTTAAAGCAGTCACATAATGCAATTTAACACGACCCACGTGACCCAGAATCACGTGCTCTTTCAATAGGTCTCGAATGGTGTATAAATCTTACTTACCCTTGCAGGTTTTTCCGTCCCCGGAGAATCCAATCTTGCAAGTGCACAGATAAGAACCACGAGTGTTTGTACAGTTGGCATTGACGTCACAAACAGGAGAGGTAGCAGAGCACTCGTCAATGTCTTATAAATAGGCATAAATAGAAAGACAAATTTCGTTAAGGTCAAGAAATATAAAAACTGCATAGCCTTAAAATGTCTCGAATGGAGCACTCGTCGGTGTCTAATAAATGGTAAGACATAAATTGATCATGTCGGCTGAAGCAGTCAGTTTACGGCTTATGGCCCTTCCATTCCTTATCGTACTGTACATTGTAGTTAACGTTTTTATCTTTTAAAAGTATAATTTAAGTTTTTGCAAGAAAGAACCCTGAACATCCCTCAATATATGTTGGTCTGCGGTGAGTTGATCAAGATGGAAGCGTCGTCTGTTTAATTTCCGCTGACGTAATTATTACTAGGAGACTTGTATGGTAACCCAACGAGAATTTAGCCCCCTGATTGTAGGTAACATAATTGTAAATTATTTTCAAATTGTATAAACTGTTGTTTTTGTTGTAGCTAGCCGTGGTCTCAAATATGGACATATTCCAAGGTTATGCCCTTCTAGAGGCGTCACAGCTAGGCAAGGTGAAGAGTATTGCATTTTTTATTAAAAAAAAAAACTCCTGGGCGCCCAGCAATTACTCTGCTAGCAAGACGAGAACAATGTAAGACCTCATTCAACCTACCTAATCGGTTTATTTTTGAAAACGCAACCTTGCACGGTGAGATTTTTTTAAAAACGCTTTGTAATTATAAAATAATAATAAATAAAAAAACTTTTGAACAGCATCTTACAGTTTTAATGTGGACGGGAAAAAACAAAAGTTTTGTAAACGCCGAGGTATTTGCCGGATAAACTTGATCAGAACTACACACATACATAAAACACCCGAAAGAAACCTGAGGACAAACGTATAACCAAATCCAGGGGTCAGTCTATAGCCTGTGTTCTGGCAATTCAACAGAGGTGACAACCGTTGATGCGAAAAGAAGAGAACCAGAATGGCATGAAACAGCAGTTTACGCTGTTGATGGCTTAATAGGGAGTTTAACCAGTGACGTTTTCAGAGCGACGCCATGTCAACCGGAAGAAGGCTTTTTTCATTTTCAACATGCCTTGATGCAAGCAAATTTGTATTGCTATGTGTCTTTACTCTTATAAAGACGATTTGCCCAAAAATTTGTTTAAAAAAGTCTTGGCTCAAGAGCGGAAAAAGTCCACTTCCGTTTGACGTGCGTCGCTCAAAAACGTCGCCGCTTAAACTTCCTAATATGGAAGGCCGAAAACGTTCAAAACGCAGCCACAATAGTGAGCCATGATGACGCCTAAGCATTTCCCATCGACAAGAAGCAAAGGTTAGTCGACCTATTAAATGTCCACCAGCACGTTTAAGAATAAGTAGCCCTCAGTGTGTTTCTAGATGTAATTCCAGTGCAATTTAGAACTTACCGAAAGTTTCCATGTCACAGTGAGCTAGAACAGGAATATTCTCTTTTATGGTGTATAACCAGTACTTGCCGCTGACCGCTTGTTCCTCGCTTGCTTTTATTTCCTTGCAGGTTTCAGCCGGCAGTTCAGGAATTGAACCGAGAGGGACTGGAGAGACAAAACAGATATAAAGAGAAGTGTGACGTCATGTTACCATGGTAGCAAAATTTCTGGATAACAACAACAAGGAGTTTTTGCAACGGCGACGGCGAATAGCAAAAAAATTAGGTTTATATCAGTGGCAAAAAAAAAAAACAACTTTGCACGTGCATCACGCTTTTTTGTACATTTCTTAACCGCTGTTGAACGAATGCGACATGAAACTTCCTAATTTCACGCGCCCACTTTATGAAGTAGGTGAGCACAACACACAAAGTTTTTTTTTCTTTTTCTAACCTTTGATACGGTCCTTTCGGATTCAACCCAGAAAATTTCGCCAACATTTGACAAATTAAATGAAATTAAGATCGAAGAAGTTTGAAACAGTGCAAATCCACTTTTTAAATGACATTTTGGTTTGTTGACATCCAGAAATGTTGCTACCATGGCAACGTGACGTAATGACTTCTCCGCTCTATTGGATTCTGTTTTGCATTCGCCTCTTTAGAAACTGGTGGAAACTGGGCCAAATTACCTTTCACAAAGACTTCTGGGATCCCCGTTCCCAGAGCAGTCCCAGACTTCTTTGCGAAAGATAAAGGCCCAGTTTGTCCCAATCACGCTGAACTCTTTATCGATCTTTAAGTCCTCGTGGCCTAAATGCTGAAATGTATTACTTGAAGTGAATTTACAACAGCCACAACACCTGAACAGGTCTTTGATTGTTTTCAAATGTTTCAATAAGGTCTCAGTCACTGTTTCTTAGGTAGTATTGTCTTAAAAACCTTTTTACCTCTGTTTTTGTATCGTCTAAAGTAAAATCTGTTTGGATCTGACACGAAATCCTCAGATCTGGCTTCCTTTGTTCTGTTATTAAACTCGCACAAGTGAAGAGAGATCACCCAATTGAAACTTTGGCATCGATCGTCTTCTCTACACGCAAATAAGCAGTCTAGCGGGGAGTTTGCCTCCATCGTTTTGTAAATGTGGCCTTGTAACATCCAACCCAGTATGGATATCTCGTATCCACTGCTTGAGCATTGTGCAGTTACCACTACGCAGTGCACTTGGCCCAAAACAGATATAACGGACATGCAGAAGATTTGTTTCAGCGCCTTCATGACTTAACCGCCTTCAAAAGAAAAATTTTAATAAGTTAGACTTCGATTAAGCCTTGAAACATATTAATTATCAAGGGGAAAATATTATTAAAGGGTAAATATACATGCGGTGAACCAAGTAATGCAGACTCGAAGACTCAGCTGGTGATAGTTCTTGCTGCGGGAGCTCCTTAGCTATAGAGAGTAGAGTCGATGCTCATTACGATTCAATAAAAAGGCGAGTATGAGCGAGTACTTCATTTACAGATTGTTGATTAAGGTTCCTACTCAAATTCGATGGTCCCAGTATTTCAAATCCCCTTTACTGACCGTACGTTCACGTTTGATATTGCCTCAAAGTAGCCGTTTTCGATACATAGTTTTAAAACCCTTTTTTTCAGTCATGTCTAACGCTTTCAAAATTATAGAAGTAAAAAACAAATTAGTTTTTAAGGAATCAAATTGTACCGTTTGCGTCTTTTAGCTGGAGTCTGCAAATTTGATGGGACAACTTGTTTTCCCAGTAGGCTCCTCACTCATGCAAAGCCCACTTTTGATGCTAATAACTTTGCCGTTTAATTATTTATGGCTACCCACTGGTAAGACTCACAGTTATGTCCAGTGCTTGTTAATATTGATATTGGCCAAAAAATATTTCAGTAGTTTTCAGCCCAACATAGCGTTAATTGCAACATTGTTGCGACTATGCTTCGAATGGTTACAACATTGTCCCGGCATTGCAACGCTGTGTTGAGCTAAAAATCGTCGTTGCGAATCGTCTCGTGTAACATCTTCTTAAGAAAAAAGAAAGATTGTAAAAGAGAGAAAGAAAAAAAAAATGTCTAAGTGAAATACAAAAGTGAAAGAGAATTTAAATAACAAAGTTCATATACGGATTATTCTGGGGGATTTACTTTAAATCTTACCACTTGCCTGTTTTTGTCGTCTGCGTAGCTCGTTTTCTTATTAATACTCTGAAGAGAACACTTCCATTTTCAGCTGCATTTGTTTGGACTACTGATGTTTGGTTGTTTTGTTACCAAAGAACAAACTATATGCTAGGATTTTTCAGCTTTGAAATGGAAACTAGCTCTGCGTCGCTTTCCCTCAGCGCCATACTTACAAATTCTGCATTAAAAATTAAGTTGCGTACATACATTATTATTATCATTATTTTTTTTTTCAGAAAAGAAAGACATTAGAATTTCATACGTGTCAGACCACCCTTCATTTTTATTCTGTAGATTTATCATTTGAATTTATGTCCTTCAAGGCGTTATTAATTTTTTTCGAAATTTGAAAGCATGAGAAAAATTAATCAACAGGAGGTAATCAGCTTGTTTTGAATATATTAGTCAATATTTTATGCGGTTTTATTTGCTCACTGTAAGTGGGACAATTTTGGTAGCTATTAAAGGGATCATATGGGAAATATTAAAAAAAGGAAAAAAATATCGCCTCGTCCGTCAGCTTATCGTGGGGTATAAAATTAAAATGAAATAAACTGACCGGTTTTTTTTTGTTCCTCACTGTCGTTTTGAAGCGATATGGCTAGCGTTGTGATCCCAGGGGGGAAATACTCCGGAATTCAAGTGACAGGGGTGATCGAATGGGGAAAAATATCAAAACCCACCAAAATCCCTAAAGCCTCCAACAAACATTTACCCCCCCCCCCAAAAAAAAAAAAAATTCCATGCTGAAATTCTGAGCCTTAAAAATTTGCAGAAAGTATTGAATATTAAAAGAGCCGCAAAACACTGAACAGCTGAAACAAGTTTGGTTTTATACTTCATTCTCAGAACTACGCGGCTGGCATACGCTGACCTACCACGAATCCTCAGATTGATTTGAATCTGCCCAAACAAAATCCCTACTTGAGTCAAGCCAACCAAAAAATACTGCCAAATTTTCCTACCCAAAAAGCCCTCCCTGATCATCTCGTCTTTTTAACCCCGGAGCACTCTACCCCCTCTCCCTATTCCTGGGCCTTTGACCAGCCCAGATCGCTTAAAACGATACAGGAATCACACAAAGTACGACACAGTCTCTGGTTTGCTCTGAAGAAGGTCTAGCCGGCTCGAAACGTCATCGTCTAGATCCTCCTACAAGGGCAAGTCGTCGTAATGTGAAAATAGGTTTTTTCCTACTTTGGACTGAATTTTTGTTTTGGCCTGAGAAATCACTGTAAACTAAACGCTGGAAAACCCTGGAATTCAGGGGAGTCACTAGGCTCGATGGCCGCCGTCTCCCGGGCCTGGTCTTTGAGCTTAGCGACTTACTGGCTGTGGGGAGGTTCGGGATCTATTACTAACAGCAAACAATGGAGACTGAGACTTAGAGTGACGTTTACGGCAAACGGCAAATGAATTTGTACCACGTGACAATGTTTTTCTTTAACTTGCACTTTACAGTTAATTACGTTCACCCCAAACTAGTAACAGTTGTATTGTACTGTTTTTAGTACACATTTTCTATTTTGAATCTGACGTTTGCAGTTTGCCATAAACGTGACTATAAAGTATATATCTCCTATTAGTAAAATCAACTAGTGGTCTATTATCAATGCTGCGTTCTGTGGTTGAGCTCCTTCTAGGCTATGTGTTATAGCCCACTAGTAGCGGAAAGCGTCGGCTTTGAAAACCAAAACAATGGCGGCTGAATCGCGTTTTGCCTGCTAAAGTTGTTTTGTCTCGATATTTTTGACCAACTAGTTGGATTTTACTAAAACAATTATTCCTGTCGCCCTTATGGCCTCTGAGTCAATAGATTCGGGCTCGAGGAATAATTGTTAAATATCTAAGAGGCATCAGAGCAGCAATAACTTGGTTCCAACGTAATCTTTACTATTCAGAATTCGAAGGTAACCGACGCGTCAGCCAGGAGTTAATATCACAATTATTTTTTCATTCTCTATATATATTGGATGAAACTGAACTTCATGCTTAAACATTGATCGCTTTCAAAAGTAAACGCGTGGATGTCTCAGCTTCTAAAAGATTGAGTCACAACCACAACGCCTAGTAAAGTAGTGAGCTTTCAGACTAGTTACCGCCTCAATACTTAACAACACGTAGTGTTAACGGGCTGTTGTCGAAGGGAGTTGACGGGAGTTTGACATCAGACTGGTTTATGATCAAGTCTGGGGTAAAACAGGGGTGCGTGATGTCAGGTTTCCTATTCTTACTTTGCTTAGATTGGGTCATGATTGAGGAAGGCAACAGCAAACAAGAGAAGAGGGATAAAGTGGAACTTCCCAACAGTACTGGTGGACCTTGATTTCGCAGATGACATTGCACTAATGTCATCTAAGTTCAATGAATTGTACGTAAAGGCTAAGAGATTAGGGAGGAGTAAGCAGCCAGAGTAGGACTAAAACTTAATGGGAGAAAGTGCAAGACACTATAGGACTGAGTGTTCTAGTAGCAGGGAGAACATTGTGGTAGATGCATTTCTCTCAGCTTTGACGCAACACTACAGTCTCTTTAGAAACTCACAAAAAAACTAAATAACTCAACAAGCCAACAAGCCAGCTATTACGAATAGGATTGAAACTCTGTGAGTAAAACTTTAGGCAAACATACCGTTTTACTTCTCAGATTCACTAAATTCTATAGTAAGTAGTTCCCTCTAGTACGAAAAGCCACTTGGTTGTCTATCCTGAACTTAAGGTGGGCATTTGAACACATTTTGTCCTGAATAATGAGAATTCGAAAACCTTGATCCCCTCAGTCAGTACCACAATAACGAAGATTACATCGATGTTCCGGGGGCGTTCCTTTGAAGTGATACAGGAAGAAATGTCCGCAGTTGAGTACTTCAATATTGATGGACCACCTGCAGCAGTTTGAGCCCCAGCTGAAGCAGACCTTTTTGGTGACTTTGCCTTCTTGTACTGACGGATGAGTACCGTTAAGCCAGCCAGTGGCATGGGTACTACATTTGGAAGGAGCAACGCATGACGAAGGCATTTTTGTCCCCGCGTTACCTTGGAAACGATACCATCCATTCAGTGAATTATCACAAAGAGGTGGAGATGATCCGTGGGTCACTTTCCTGTTACCGTTGGTCAAATTTTGGTAGTTGGGGCAATCTGAAACTTTTTATGAGCAAATACTTTAGCTTACTTTGTTTATCATCTTTTCTATCAAAAATAAGATAAACAACAGTGTTTGACATAATAAAAGTTGACGCTTGTTTTTAAAAAGTCTCTTGAATGAACGTATCCTGGACTACGTACTCTTCCGAGCAGTACCTCTTTGGCGCGCCAGTCGAAGGTCACCCGCAAGCGACCCGAGAAAGAATGGGACGTAAATGGGCCGAGCTCGCTTTCCGCTTCTCATGAACTGATTACAGGATCGTCGGAAATAATTCATAGTCCAGTTTCGACTTTGACATAATCGCTGAACTTATAAGCCTTGATGGCGAATTTCTACAGCTTTAGTCTCGCTGAAGTGAATATATTCTCAAGTTCCGTGGGCAAAAAGACCAACTTATAACTCTATCGATTTAGTCCAATTTCAGGTACCATTCTGTCCGGGTATTTGGTACTTTAGAACTGTCGACTTGCATGTCAGTCATGTTAGTGTGTCATTAGGGAGCTAAAGCAAAGTCGTTCTAAAGCGATGCATGTCAATTGGAATTGGGACTTTTTGCATTCTTGGGAAGGGGTTTAATCGTCTCATTTTATAAGGGTAAAGACACTCACCCAAAGAATCTGCAGGGTAGCGGCAAGACCTAACTTCCAGTTTGCGGGCGTAGTTAAAAAAACGCTCTAGAATATAAGCTCCCTTTTGGTGTACGTATTAAATAGTAAGTTTAGTTGAATAAGAAAAGGAACGTCATTCGGTTTACCACTTTTAAACAAACGGAGTTTTTGTCTTAAACGGAAAGCATTATACCGTCTCAAAGTGCAAAATGGTCTCTCTGATTAAGTAATAAGCTGTAGTCCTTTATGGTAGTGGCCATTTCGACGTTGCGTGTATAGCGTGCGTGGCAGTTGTTAAAAGAGGAAGGGAAAGGAGACTTTTGGGCGCGCGAGGGCGCAAGAGGCGCGCGAGAAGGGGGCGCCCACATTCCCTGTTTCCCTTCCCCTTTTAACCTCTGCCACGCAGGCTACACCTATTTCGTGGAAGACTGGGTTAGTTTTGGGACTCCAGCTCTTCTTTTATTGGCTTTAATGGGGTACTGCATGAAACTGGGTCCAAAATCGTTCTCAAAGCAGTCACATAATGCAATTCAACACACCCCAAGTGACCCATACTCACGTGCTCTTTCAAAATGTCTCGAATGGCGTATAAATCTAGAGGTGATGTTACACGGGACGATTCGCAACGCCGATTTTTAGCGCAACACAGCGTTGCAACATTGTTGGGACATTGTTTCGAATAGTTACAACACTGTTCCAACACTGCAACGCAATATGCCTTCACGCAAGCAAATTTGTATTGCTATGTTTTTCTTTACTCTTATAGGGACGATCTGCCCAAAAATTTGTTCAAAAAGTCATGGCTCAAGAGCGGAAAAAGTCCACTTCCGGTTGCGTGGCTGCTTAAACTCCCTAATATGGAAGGCCGAAAACGTTCAAAACGCAGCCACAATAGTGCGCCATATTTATGGTGCCTAAGCTTTTCCAATCGACAAGAGGCAAAGGTTAGTCAGCCTATTAAATGTCCACGGTTAGGAATAAGAAGCCTGCAGTGTGTTTCTAGAGGTATTTGCAGTGTAGTTTAGAACTTACCGAAAGTTTCCATATTGCAGTGAGCTAGAACAGGAATGTTCTCTTTTATGGTGTATAACCAGTACTTGCCGCTGACCGCTTGTTCCTCGCTTTCCATTACTTCCTTGCAAGATTCAGCTGGCAGTTCAGGAATTGAGCCGAGAGGGACTGGAGAGACAGAACAGATTGAGAGAGGAGAAGTGTGACGTCATGTTACCGTGGTGGCAAAATTCCTAAATCACAACAACAGGAACGTCGGCGGCGAACAG